TTTTTTCCCAGTATTCAGAGGCTTTTATTCAGTGCCACACGTGACTCAGAGCATCAGACGTGTTCGTCTCCTCGTGTCTGCAGTTCTTTATGGATCATGAATGCTGTCTAGCGCATCCGAGTGCATCCCACCCTTTCTGCAGTGAAATAGTCCATCAGATGCGTCTCGCACCTGAAAGCAGCGTCTGGCACATGAAAGCCGATCCACGACAGATGGGCGAGTTTGCTTTCAAAGCAGCTCCTGATGCGTTTGTGACGGCAGAATTCAGATGGAGAGAGAGAGTCAGATATTGATGTCAGTATTAAACACCATTCGTGTCTGTAGCTTTAGCTGTTTAGCAGTAAATCAGGCCGGTTGCTAGTAAACAATCAGGTGAATGTCTGTCTAGGGATGCTGTTAATCGCTCTTCTCTCGTCTGGAATAAGCACTTCATTAGTGTTGTTTGATATGGATAAATCACAGACGGGTTATTTCATACGTGTGAATCTGTTAACAGGCAGAGAAATAGGAACTGCCTAAAATATCCAGATCTACTAAGATGGATTCTGTGTAATTGCGAGCAGCTCTAATGAAGAAACCGCTGCTAGGTTTGTGGATTAAAGACTCTCAAAATGCTTTTTCTTTTGATTATTTGCCCATGAGAGCTTGAGGAAACTCAGCGTGCTCAGATGATGTTGCTTTAATGTTGTAATATCAGGATTAGTTTACTGGCTAATTGCAGCCACGACAAGTTTTAAAAATTCACCTTTAATTACGCAATTGTAGTATCTTAGTATCCCAGAATCCTAGGGCCTGTCAGTAATTCGATTTTCTAATGAAAGTGTGAGTGGCACTTACTTGCTGCAGTGATTAAAGTTAGGACTTTAAGTCATTTCTTTGTGTCTGAAGTCACAAAAGTCCTGCAACCTCAAAGTCTCTGTGATCTTCTCGTCTCAAGATATGATGTGTTTCCCTCCTTCAGTGTCTCTTGAGCATCCTGTTTTGTGTGTTTGCTAGTTTGTTTGTTTATTTTATAATTTATATATTTTTCAAAATTTTATGTTCATTAATGTTTTTCTATTTTTAAATTTATTTTTAAATTTATTTTCCTAATTTTTTATTTATCTAATTTTGATTTATTATATTTTAAACTTTTATTTATTTATAATTTAATGATTTAAAAAAAAAAATATATATATATTTGTTTAATTTTATGAATTTATTTTTGTATTTTTTAAAATTCCTTTATTTTTCTGTTTATTTATTTTTAATGTAATGTATTTCTTTTTTTATTAATTTGTATTATATGATTTATTATATTTTGATAATTATATTTATTTATTAAGTTTATTATTTGTAATAATTTTTTGGTATTTTTTATTTATTTATTTAGTCACTTATAAGTTTTTTTTAAAATTTATTTTAAAATTTTGTATTTACTTTTTATAGTAGATTTTTTTAACATTTATTTTTCTATTTATTTCTATTTATTTTTTTAATTTATTTTTTTATGATTTTTTAAAATTTTATTTTATTTTTTTAATTCATGAATTGATATCTTATTAATTCAATCAAACTGTTTGTAAAAATACAAACAGTCACTAAAACTTGCATATTAAGAACTTCTGTTTCTGTAAATTCAGCTATTTCGTGTTCATCAACCCTTCATCATGCAATTCGGTGTTTATAGGGACGTCGTGCTGGGAATTACACCTGAAATGAGAAAACATCTGTGGGTTTACGTGACAAGCATCATGATGGAAATGATCCTGACACGAGTTTGTGAGCGAACGAACAACCAGGATGATTGAGACTCAATTAGAGCTCATTGTGTCTCAAGAGTCTAGAACAATAAACACTCACGGACATTTACATCTCACTCATGATTGACAGCAGAGGAGGCGGAGTCTGTCTGCAGTCTGAGAACACAAAGAAACAAAGAGCCGAACGCGGGTCTGTGACGTTCTGACGGTTTCATGCAGAAGCGATGAGTTCAGAGACGGTGACGGTGGCTCCGTTCTGCTCCGAAGCCCCGGTTTCTGTTCACTTTGAAAAATGTCACTTACATGTTCATGTCTCAAATGCTGGCCTGTCAGGACGGGAAGAAAAACAGAGAGAAGTGACATTTAGCTCGACCGGCTCTGCACGGCGTTTCACTTCACAGTTTCTGTTTAATGGGAGCTTCAATCTGAAGAGTTCTCTGACTCTTTATCACAGAAAACTGTGTTTTATTGTAGCGTAAAAATTGCATGCATTAAAATAAATAAATAAAATCAATGAATAAAAACATATTCAATACCTCAGTGAAACCAGGATGGTCAACTAGAAAAACAACAACAACCTAAAAAAAAGTTAAACTTGATTAAAAAAAATTTTTTCTTCTTTTTTTTTTTCTTTTCTCTTTTATAAGTTGAAGATCTTTTTCCAAAGAAATTACTACTTTTATTCATCAAAGTGACAGTAAAGACATTTCTGAAGATCATGTGACACTGAAGACTGGAGTAATGATGCTGAAAATTCAGCTTTGATCACAGAAATAAATTACAGTTTAACATATAATCACACAGACAACAGCTGTTTTAGATTATATTATATTATTTGACAATTTTTACTGTATTTATTTTTGATCAAATAAATGCTTCTTTCAGAAACATCACAATTATTCCAAACTTTTGAACAGTATATGGATGTGTATTTCTTATACTTTCAAAAGTATCTTGATTCCTTGGTTGAATCATTTGTTTAACTAAATTCTTGCCACAAAGTTGTTAATCATAGAGATATCTACTGTAAGCGTTGCACTCATTGACTGACACGTTTGAGTCTTCTTCTGGCTCTCATACTGAAGTGTGTTTGATGAAACTCGGCCCGTGTAAGTGACCCACAGGCGGCTGAATGTTGAGGTGGTTAGAGGCGGTTCGCGGGACGTTCCTCGTGAATGTTTAATCGGAGGGCCGCGCTGACATGACATGCTGCTCTGGGCCTTTTGTGCTGCTGACAGTCCAGCGGCGATGGAGTGGCCGGTAGGTTCACGCGCTTTAGATTAATGCTCGTGTGTGTGTGTGTGTGTGTGTGTTTGTGTGTGTGTGTGTGTGTGTGTGTGTG